TACAGGAATGGAATATACAAGAGATGTGGGACACCATGAAAAGACCAAATCTACAGATCATAGGAACAGAGGAAGGAGAACAATTTCAGGTTAACGGTGTTGACCAGATCTTAAACAAAATCATAGAAGAGAACTTCCCAGAATTAAGGAAAGCTATCCTCATACAAATACAGGAAGCACGTAGAACACCAAATACACAGGATCAGAAAAGAAACTCCCCACGACATATCATAGTAGAAACACTAAATGTACAGAACAAAGAGAGAATACTGAAAGCAGCAAAAGAAATACAACAAGACACATACAAAGGAAAGCCCATCAGAATTGCAGCTGACTTATCAATGCAAACTATGAGAGCCAGAAGAGCCTGGACCAAGGTATTTCTAGTTCTATATGACAATAGATGCCAGCCCAGAATACTTTACCCAGCAAAAATGTCTATTATAGTTGAGGGGAAAGGAAAACCTTCCATGATACGAATAGCCTAAAAGAATACATGTCCACAAAACCAGCCCTTCAAAGAATACTTGAAGCAATACAGAGAGCAGAGAGAGAAACAACTATAGCCTAGGCGCAACAAAAGAAAATAAAGTTATAATCTAGGAAACACAAAATTAGACAGAGACCAAAAACAGCAGTCAAAATGATGGCAACTAATGCACATCTTTCAATAATAATCATGTACTCATATTTGGGTCTTCAATTTTATTCCATTGATCTATGGGTCTATTTTTGTACCATGTTTTATGACTCTAACTTTGTAATACAGTTTAAAATCTGGTATAGTAATCCCCCTCAGCATTGCTCTTAGTGTTCAGGGTTGATTTGGCTATCCAAGATCTTTTATGCTTCCATATGAATCTTAGGATTTGTTTTCCAATTCTTTGAAGAATGTCATGAGGAGTTTGATTGGCATTGCATTAACTCTATAAATGGCTTTGGGTAGGCTGATCATTTTCACAATTACAATCCTTAACATACATGCACCAAACTCTGGTGCACCCAAATTCATAAATACAACACTATAGGACTTTAAGACACACATTAACCCCAACTCAATAATAGTAGGGGACTTCAATACCCCACTTTCTCCATTAGACAGGTCAACTGGACAAAGAATAAACAGAGAGACATCTGAAGTAAATGATACCATACATCAAATGGACCTGACAGACATCTTTCCAATATTCCACCCAAGCACCAAAGAATACCCTTTCTACTCAGCACCCCATGGAACTTATTCAAAAACTGACCACATACTGGGCCACAAAACAAATCTCAACAAATATAAAAAACTGAAATAATTCCATGCATTCTATCAGACCACAATGCAATAAAGTTCAAAATCAACATTAGACAAAGCCCTAGGCACTACACAAACTCATGGCAATTGAACAACACACTCCTAAACAATGAGTGGGTGAAAGGAGAAATTAAGAAAGAAATAAAAGAATTACTAGAATTCAATGAAAAGGAGAATACAACAGAACACAACCTCTGGGACACATTAAATGCAGTCCTAAGAGGGAAGTTCATAGCTCTAAGTGCCTACATTAAAAAATTACAAAGAAGCCAAATAAATGACCTAACACTGCAACTCAAGACACTGGAAAGGCAAGAACAAATGAAACCCAAACCCAGCAGAAGAAAAGAAATAACAAAAATCAGTGCAGAAATTAATGAAATGGAAACAAAGAAAACAATACAAAGAATCAATGATTCTAAGAGCTGGTTCTTTGAAAAGCTAAACAAGAAAGACAAACCCTTATCTTAGTTAACCAAAAGAAAGAAAGAGCAAATCCAAATCAACAAAATCAGAGATGACAGGGGAAACATCACAACACACACCAAAAAAATCCAGACTATTATAAGGGAATATTTTAAAAACCTATACTCTACGAAATCGGAGGGAACATACCTCAACATAATTAAAGCTATATACACCAAACCCACAGCCAACATCATTCTAAATGGAGAAAAACTGGAAGCATTCCCATTAAAATCATGAACCAGACAAGGATTTCCACAATCTCCACTCCTTTTAGACATAGTGCTTGAAACTCTTGCTAGAGCAATAAGATAGGAGAAGGAAATTAAAGGAGTACTAATTGGAAAAGAAGAGGTCAAACTATCCCTTTTTGCAGATGATATGATACTATACTTAAGAGATCTCAAAAGTTCCACCAGAAAACTCGTAGAACTGATCAACACTTTCAGTAGAGTGTCAGGTTATAAAATCAATATACAAAATTCAGTAGCCTTTCTATATACCAATAACAAACAACTGGAGAAAGATTACAGGGAAATGCTTCCATTCACAATAGGTGCAAAAAAAAATATCTGGGAATAAATCTGAACAAAGACACCAAAGATCTCTACAATGAAAATTTTTAATCGTTAAAGAGATTGAGGAAGACACCAGGAGGTGGAAGGATCACCCATGCTCATGGACTGGAAGAATTAATATTGTTCAAATGACAATCCTACCAAAAGCAATATACAGATTCAATGCAATCCCAATCAAAATCCCTGTGACATACGTCACAGAATTAGAAAAACCCATCCTTAAATTCATATGGAAACACAAAAGACCCAAACCAACAATGAGCACAAAGAGCAATGCTGAGGGGATTACTATACCAGATCTCAAAGTATACTACAGACCTATAGTCATAAAAATAGTATGGTGCTGGCACAAAAATAGACACATAGATCAATGGAACATCATTGAAGATCCAAACCCGAGCACATGCAATTTCAGCCAGCTGTTATTTGACAAAGGTGCCAAGAACACACAATGGAGGAAAGACAGCATCTTCAACAAATGGTGATAGCAAAACTGGATCTCTACCTGTAGAAGAATGAAACTAGATCCTTATCTTTCGCCTTGCACAATAGCCAACTCCAAATGGATCAAAGACCTCAATGTGAAACTGGAAACCCTGAAATTATTAGAAGAAAATATTGGCAGTAACTTACAACATATAGGTGTAGGAAAGAATTTTCTAAACCAGATAGAAGTTGCTCAGGAATTAAGGTCAGTAATCAACAAGTGGGACCTCATTAACCTAAAAAGCTTCTGTACAGCAAAAGAAACAATCAAAAAAATGAAGAGAAAACACAAAGAATGGGGAAAAAATCTTCATCAGTGACACATATGACAGAGGTTTAACATCCAGAATATATAAAGAACTCAAAAAACAAAGAATCGAGAAACCAAATGACCCAGTTAAAAGATGGGATAAAGATCTAAACAGAGAGTTCTCAAAGGAAGAAATAAATATGGCTAAGAAACATCTCAAAAATTGTTCGACTTCACTAGCAATTCAGGAAATGCAAATTAAAACCACTCTAAGGTATCACCTTACCTCAATGAGACTGGCTAGGATCAAGAGAACAAATGATACCAAATGCTGGTGAGGATGTGGAGAAAAGGGAATGCTCATTCACTGCTGGTGGGATTGCAAACTCATGCATCCTCTATGGAAAACAGTGTGGAGAACTCTTAAAAAACTAAGAATGGGGGCTGGAGAGATGGCTTAGCGGTTAAGAGTACTGACTGCTCTTGCAGAGGACCCAGGTTCGATTCCCAGCACCCATGTGGCAGCTACGAACCGTCCTTAACTCCAGTTCCAGGGGAATCCGAAGCCCTCTTCTGACCTCCGCAGCACTGCACGACATGGGTGCACCTACTTACATGCAGACAATATACTCATACACATAAAATAAAAA